CTGACGTTTATTGAATTTAGTTTTATTTTCTACGCCGTGCGCTACAATGGAAAAAGTTCAAAAGTTCCTCGACGCACGCGCAATTTTCTATTAAAAATTTGCAAATAACGAACGCTTTTACCGGTGATTAAAACTTTTAGGCTCCAAAAACATCATCGATGGGAGAAATAAATAAATAAATAAATAAATAAACGCGATACGAAACCGTGGAGAACGACACGTCCTCGTCAACGTCGAACGACAGGCGAACACCATGCTCGGGTCTCGACCATTTAGGGCACCGTGCGCCCCATTCACGGGGGTCTAGTCGGTCGAATTTAGCACGGCGAAAAAGATAACGCGACGAGAAAGTATCGAAAGGAGAAAGCACGTGGAACTTCCGGTCGCTTTGAACCGACCGGCAGCCGCCGTTGGAAATCTCTTCTTTTTGCTCGGCAGAGAAGTTGCCGCGCCAGTTTCGTTTCGCGTTATCCCGCGATTGTCTATTTGACCAAAATAAAACGCGGTGGATAGACGACGGAGAAGAAACGGCGGAAGAAATTTTCGATACCACGGCGTTCGCGAGAACCGACGGAAAATCTGATAGCCGAGACGTCGCTAACGAAGAGGAAAGAGACTTCGGGATCGATTTTATTCCGCGTAACGTGACGAAGCCAGGTCGGAAAGAAACGCCGTGCGGTTTCGACTCGGTGAAGCGGAACGCGTGCAATATTTCTCTATACGTTGAGATTAGAGCCCACACCGCCGCGAGCTCGCGACGACGATGGCGAAAGGGAGGGAAAAAAATAGGGAAAAGATTGCGCAAAATCGCAGCCTAAACCTTGGCGAGGTTGCACGGAAACCTCGCGATTAATCCACAGCCTGGCCGGCTTCGCGATCGAATTCAGTTGGAAAATTAAAAGCTAATTGGAAATTCGACGCGAGCCGAAGATACGTTTTCGCGACCTCGGAAAACCAGGCGCGCATCTCCGCAGTGGCGTAGAACGCGAAACACGCGATCGGGTAATTGTAAATAAACAATATCGCGTAGCCACCGGATAGAAGCGGAATTCGGCGGATATTGCAACAGTGTTCTTCGCCTGATTGCGAGGCGTTTCGATCGCAAAAGTCTTCGCGAGCCGAGCGGATTTTACGTCGTTACGCGATGTCGTCTTGCTCGCCGGGTCGATCGAGCGTGCACATCTCGACCCTAATGAAATAATTACGATGGAAAAATTGGGCATATCGATTCGCCTGGCGGGCTAAAGACATTAACAAATCGATGCCCGAATCGACTGTTTCGGATCGCCGGAACATAAGCTTGAAAGAAGCTTAACGCAATCGGATAGAGCATGGCGCGACGGGAACGTAGCTCGCAGAGGCGGAAGCGTTTGAATCGCGATTAACGCGAACGGGAGATGATACGCCCAACGACCATTTCGATACGTGGATTTTTTCTTCCCGAATCTTAGAGTGGGCCTAGAGCCCGGAAAACTATCCGGGAACCGGCTAAATCGGGCAAAAGGGGAGGCAAAACGGGAAGAAAAAGGACACGGGAGTAACCGAGTCAGCGCAGACCCTGATTTTAATTCGACCCGCGTCCTTTACCCTTTCCCTCGCCGTGCTGTTTCCGCCAGCTCCACCGGTCTCGTTCCTCCTTGCACCGCGCAAACCAACCCCCGACCACCCTCCACGCGAACGTAACCCCAACGTAGGCGGAACTACGGCAAACTTCGCAGTGACGTACAAGTACAGATGCTCGACCGTCTCTCCAGACCGCAGCCTAAAGATCCAGCGCCGAATGCTGACACTTTCCATCGATCCAACGCAACGCGGTCTCCCGACCTTTCGTCTTCTTTCGCGACCTTTGCATTTCCTCTCCACCACTACCCACTACCCTTTGCACCCGTTATTCGAGATGCGCGTTAACCTTCGATTTAGCGAAAGAAGCGAGGAGTATCTCCTCTCCCGAGCTATTCGCGCGCTTTTAACGTTCAGATTGTCGGTCCCGAGAGGGCCGCGTCCGAATGACGAATGCGTGGACGCTGTGTGCCGTAGGAACGAGAACGCCAGCGGCAAAACAAATCGAGAGGGCGCCAGCCCCGAGTTCGCACGGGCCTGACGGAAGTCGGCGAAGAAACAGCGGTGAACCGTGCACACGCACGCTGACAACGCTCGAGATCTGACGATAACGCGAGAAAAGATGATTTATGAGCCAGGGACACGCCACGTCGTTTGCTCGAGTTCGCGAATGAGTGACCGAGAGTGAACAGCCACAGCCGGACGAACGGGCCCCGGCTCGAGAGTGCGAGCGAGGCCGAAAAGGGACCGGGGAGAGAAATAAAAGGAGGATCGGGCTGCGGAGAAGACGCGCGGCCGTATGTGGGCCAGCGTGGAACGAAATTATCCGCCGGCTTAATAAATGATAGATAAACATTTGGGTAGCCTTGATGCGTGCCCGGCTAATAATGATCGAGCTTTCCAGTGACTAATGACTTTGCTCGACTCGATCATCGTCTACCGATGCTCTTGCCCGAGTAACGATGATATTTTATTCACCGCTGTCTGGTCAAGGTCGCGTGTACGTCGAAGAAATTAGCTTTCTCGTGAATTAGACAGGTGGGCACGGAAACGGACAAACTTTCCGAGCGAAAATTCAACGTTTGCCTGGAAATTTATATCTCGCGGAACGAATTTGAACGGAAAGATCGGAGCGAAGATCGAAGAGGAAAGTAAAACGACCACGATGACGATGACGATGATAATTGTCAAAGTGCAACGGCGATGTATGTATAACCTAGGCCAGCATCAGCCTAGCAGTAATCGGTACCGGGATTCGTTCAACGCGTTGACTGCCATGGTGCTCACCAGTGTCCGGTGATACTAATTTTTTAAATTTATATTTATTTTATTCCAACGATTCTTTGAAAATTTCAACAACGTGAATAAACAGAGAACTTTGGACAGAAGACATCAATAATTAGCACGATTTTTCTTTTCTGCCATATTGTTTGATAATTCATCATTTTATCGTGGCCCCCTGAGCGCGCCATATGAAAAATGCGTGACAGTCAAAGTGTCGATCTTTCCCTTGTTCCATCAGCGTTAGGAACGCTGACAGTTCGTGCAAAAATATATATATTCTTTCAGTTCAACCCAAGTGAGTTAATTTTTTTCCTCTTTTCATTCCCACAATTCCTACGATAATAATCACAGGAGAGATGCGAAATTTCGAGGAGCTAGAGGAGAAGCTGCGCGACTCGTCAAGGTGTGCAAAGAGCGAAATTTGGATGGCTGCCTTCTGTTCCACGGGCTAGTTAGCCACTCGCCTCCGCGTCGATGCGTTCCAACTCGCGACACGCGCATTCGTAAATGCAGGTCAATGCATCGCTGTCACGTGAGTGAACCGCGGTGCGGATATTTAAACGCGTATCTATCAGATGTGTCTGGAAGATTCGTCGGTTGGAAATGTTTTTTCCCTTTCGTATAGAGGTACAGAGTTGGAGATTCGGGGATTAAAACCGGCCCGTGTATAACTAATTTGATTCTATTAAAATTCAGCTTTCAACGCTGATCGACTGTCGGACGTTTTTACGCGTATATAAAGTACCCCGGGGAAAAAAAGAAAGGACAGCTCAATCTAGCGAAGGGGTTAATTGCAGTCAGGTTTTTATGCTGATCGCGGCCACGCGACAAACGTAAACTGGCGTGACGGTCCGATAATATCGAGATCTCGAAAGTGAAGACCGGTTGTCCGTTTGGTCCTCCGAGATTAATGAACGCGCTGTTCAAGTATCAGGGGCTCATTAAGACACATTAACCCCGGCCTCTTTTCCTTCTCTCTTTTTTCACGGTGCTTTGTCCTAATGGCGCATTGATCACTGTTGGCGAAAGAAAAACGGGCTCCTGCAGATTCGCCGTAAAAAGGAAAACAGGAAAACATTCGCGTCCCTTTTACCGCGACAAATACGCCACGATCGATTCGACGTTGGCTCGTTAATCGATTCCAAGTGGTCTCTGGATGCTTTTACAAAAGGCAGCGGCGGCGGCCGGATCCGCGCGACGAGTCGCCGCCAATTTCTCGCGTCTCGTTCCTATTCGTCCTGGCGAACTTTCCACGGTATTCCACCGGATACGATCCAAGATTCCCGACCAACTCGATCGATTATCCAAGTTTCCGCGCGGAAAAGCGACGACGCGATTCGTCTTCGATACATTCCGCGCGCGCGCGCGCGATTGCCCGCGAAAGTCGCGTCAAGTCGTGCATCTCGCCGCGAAGAGTCTATTAATCCGGCTTGTCTGAAATGGACGGAAAACTCGATAGTCCGGGAACGAGACATGTGCGCCAACGATAATCCCTTCCCGAGGATTGTATCTTATCTCTATTATCGGGCAATCTCTGAAAGGAGAGCGAGTTTATCCGCTCGGGGTGTATGGGCCAGCGAATTTTATAACGCGTGGAATCGAGCTACTTCCGAGACGCATACGATTTCCATCTCGACGAATCTCTATCGCGGCGGACAGATAGAGTCGCGAGAGTTTGAAAAAAGAGAAGAGAAAAAAGAGAGAAGAAAAACGGACGCTTTTTCTTTCCATTTTTCTCCATCGACGCGATTAAAAAAAGCCAAAGAACACACAGATCGAACAAGATAGATCTATCATTGTGTCAGCTTCTAAAAGGAAACCACGCTCGCGGTACGAGATTAGAACGCGTATTCTGCTCGTTCGTAATTCAATCTGATCAGAAACAAGGTTGCACAAACGGAAAGCAATTAATCATCGGCATAGTTTTCCCGTCCGCTAATACCTAGTCATCTGTCTAATCGGCCACCCTATCTACTAATGAACTTCCCTCACCTTTCCGCGAACTCTTTGCGCGCTACGGAATACGGAATACGAACACGCAAACAACGAGATATACCGAGCAGACTCTCCCCGGTTCCGATCGGGGATACCTTACCGTATCGCGAAACACCTGCAAGATAAAGGAATTAGTGGAAAAATAGAAGAAGAAGACTCACCTCTGTACGCTGCTGTAACCTCTTGTTCAACTCGTAGAGCCTGTAGTCCGGCGAGCCATAGTACGGAGTATGCCTCCTGGGGACAGGCAACGATCTGTCAGATCAGACCGATCGGTCATGTTAGGTGTGCTGTGTACAGTGTGTTCTCTGGTGTGGGTCGCGTGTCGCATGCATGTAGACCGAGGGGAGTTCAACATGCATCGTCGGACTTTCGTAAGCCGCCTCGAGCGGCCCAATGAAACGACGAAACACGTCGAACGTGGCACAGATTCGCGGCCCACGAAACTTACGACTTTCACCGGGAAACAACGATCGCGAACACACACACTCTATTTACCGGCTATTCCGATATAAAGAAACCCGATTCCCCGCGAAACCTCCTGTAATACGCTTCGCGAACGGAGGCTCCCCCCGATCGTTAATCCGATCGCGACCGTGCATACACACGGTTCTAGCTACGATTCGACGGATGCCGAGACACGGGGCGGAATAGCAAGGGCACGGTTCGGTCATGGTTCAACGAAGGTTCGTCGAACATGATTGCTTCGCTGGAACTCGAAGCACGGCGTCGGTACAGAGGACTTACAACGCTCGTATGCCACCGGATCGTGATCGTCCGGTTAATCGTTCGGCTAATATTCGAAAAAAGCTTGGAACGATCGTGCAACCCGGAATTGCCCCCGCGATCGTGCTATCGTGACCGAACTGGCGGCGTAAATCAAGTTTAATAAGCTCGTGCATGTCTTTCGACTGGTTGGATCTGCACGCGTGTCAAACACCTGTTAGTGCCGCGATCGTTCCAACCCGGGACTAAAATCTCGATACGCGCTGTCAGTTCCGCGAAAGGAATCCTTTCCAGGAGAGTTCGGTTACACTGCTGGGTCGCATGATTAGCGGGACATACTCGAGTCGCAGTCGAGTCGGAACCGAGTCGCAGCCGAGTCGGAATCGGGTCGCAGCCGACCAATGACCGCGTATTTTTTCGCAACCCTCTCTCCGACTACGCCATCACGAATTGTTCGAGCTGCACCTCGACGTCTGTCCTCCGTTCTCGCACGATTTGTACAAACCCGGAGCAAAGTTGAGGGTAGCCCCACATTTTTCTCGAATTTCACGCGTATCGATCGCGCATCACGCCGATCGGGTTCGACGGAAACGTTGGAAGACGCGAGAAAGGAATAACCGAGGACGTTTCTGAAAATGGAATCCGCGAGTTTAAGAATACTGCGTCAAAATCTGAACTGGATATTACGATGATTAATTCCTAACTCGAGCGGTGTCCATTAAAGCAGAATCGTCCTCCTCCGTTATTCCCTTGAAACGAATTAGGCATTCGAGGAAACTGATAAAAATCACATCGGGCGATGTAACGTAATTTTATCGAAATGCAAAATTAAAGCGAGACCGTGGATCTTGCGAGGAAGAACGTTTTGCCGCTTGTCTGTTCGAGAAGCAACGAATTCGCGGGCGTTATGGCACAAACGGATACACGCGTGCTCGTATATTAATCCAAAGTGTACCGCGTATCGGACGCAAAGTTCTAATTGAATATAAGAGTTGATTGTACAAAGGAAAGCCCGTCGCATTGTAGCTGCGATGACAGCGTGTTTCGAGGGTCACGAATCGACTGGCTACACCGATATCGATCACCCTCGTACGTCGGTGCGAATGGCTCTCCGCGCTGCGTCTGAACCTCCTTCGGTATTTTTCTTCGGAAATTACCAAATTTCTCCATTTCTCGTACCACGGGGCCCATCGTCGACCAGCGCCGAGCGCGGGGGGCAAATCGGTCGATCTTTTAGACACGTTCTCCGACCGCAAGACGGTCGTTCGATTTACGCGGAGCGGTGGTCCGCAATCGGTGGTACGAAACGACAGGCTAATTCTTGGAAATTGAGTTTGCACTGTAATGCACGCTCGTAATACGGACAATTGATCGGTGGCATCAAAATATTAGCGTTCGACTGACTGGCGGCGGGCCGCTGACAAGCGGGCCACCGTTCCCCGGAATTGTCATCGATTTTAATATCGGCGCCGCTCCATTAACGGTGTTCGCGCGCTCGTTCGCTCGCTAAAGTCACACGTGTTAGCCGCAATACACACGGAGGCGCATCGCGATCGAATAATTCGGTGACCCGATTCCGCCGCGACTTCGTCCGCGACTTTTCACCATCTCGGCGACCTTGCTTTTTAACTCGAAGCGCGTGCTTCCGCGTTGCCCGAAGCATCGCGGAGAGGATTCACACGGGGCAATTCGCGAGAGAGGCCGAACAGTTTAATTCAACTTGCACGCGGTCGGGAAGACAAACGGACGTCGGTGGGAATAATTCTTCGGCTGGTCGGAGAACGGATCGGCGGAAGGAGGAAAACGAGCGATAAACGCGCGAAATCGGGCAGAGGGTGCAGCAGGGTGGCTAGGTTCCAGAGGCACACGAGCAAGACAGCGATACACGATGACGCTGAATGCCGCTGCGAAGATCGATCGTGCCAGAAAGAACTTGGCCTTTCCAGTCTCCGGAGAATCGCCGCCGTGGGACTTGACGACACGTCACAACCCCTCGTACGTGTGCGTGTGTATGCGCGCGTGTACACACAGCGGGGTGAATTTACCAGAGAAGGGTCGAGGCTGAAGGGTTGCAAGGGTAACCTACTGTCGTGCACGGTTCACCAGGGACGCGCTCGACAAATTTCTCGTCCCATTCGGGTTCTGATTCATCCGGACCGCGCGCGCCATCGCGAGGATACGCCGATGTTCTTCTCCTCCGTCGAAATCGTTGCGAGGCGTAACGCGCGTGCGAGTTGAGGCGCGATTAGCCAAGACCGAGGCGCCGTAAAGGTTAACACACGCTCACCTATAATTAACCAGCTTTTTTTAATCCAAGGCGCGCGAATACATATCGATCGCGTACCGTGTATTAAAAAATGTTAGGTTATCCGTTTATTTATAAATAAACGGGCGAAGGGTTAATAATAAAAGACGGATCGCTGGCGCTCGGTCGGCGTGATATCATTTCGTACCAACATCTTCGCGTTTTATTCATCGAGACACCGAAACCTCTCGATTAAGTCAACGCGTTCACGACCAGGTATTTCGTCTCTATCTTTTCGCGTAGGACCGGGCATACGATTAAATATTAGCTCTTTGCTCCGAGTAAAACGACCTATGACATCGAGTCTGTTGCTAAAAGGCTAAATTTACAACGAAATAATATTCGCACGAATTTCTTCACGGACGAATGCCCAGAAAAACGGAAATCTCCGTGATCAGCCGTGAACGTGTGAAGAAAGAAAAAGAAGGATCGCAAAAAGATCGATCGGTCGATTTTCGCTCGTCTCGTCACTACGAGATGCGACGCGATGCAACGCGATGCAACGCGAGTCCTCGCGAATGGAAATGGAGGAAGGAAAAAGAAGAGAACGCGAGACGTATGGATTTCGGGCTAATGGATTCTTTTAACGGCGGGGCAAAGAAACGTTGAGAACTCGTTGACAGATGGAGCTTGTGGCGCGGCATAAAACAGAATCGAAACGCGCTAATTTAGCCGACAACGTAATTTCACGTGAGGCACGTACGCGCGGTGTAGCGGCGTGCAATAATCCGAAACCGGCTCGCGTGGAGCGCACCAGTTCTCTCTCATTCAAGACGTGCCCGCCGCGATCGAACTAATTAATTCGTCGCACGGCACACCGGCGGCTCGCTCCGTTCGCTCGCAACCCGGAATTTTTTCCTCTTCTCCCCCGTCGCCGACCAACGATCGTGACAGATCGTTCCCCCGATACGGGACCAATCCGTTCGATGAAAAACCTTTAGTCGCGCGCGCGTGTCACTGTTTCCGTCGTGGATCAGCGGAAACCCTTCCTCGTCCAATGCACCGCGAAATTTCTCCGCCGAGATCGAGATCGAGACATCCACGTCGATTCGACCCGCGAAGGAAGCGATATACCGATATATAGAGGAACCCGATTCGAGTAATTAGCACGAAACGCATCTTTTTCGCGGGTGCCAGTCGGTGAGAAACTGGGAGAAAGAATGTGGAAGAAATGGGTGCAACTTTCGTGACGATTGACACCGTTGGATGCAGCATGCAACATCGCGAGAGACGTCTACTATTCGGCTGCGAACGACTGCGACACCCCGGATCCGGGATCCCTATTGGAGCCCTATTGGAGCAAGCCCCGGAGCCGGTAAAATTTGACGGCAGAAGCGTGAACAGGCGCGAACGAGCGACTGGGTGTCCGCGACATCGTCGTCGCGGGATTTTCGAGGGAGTTGCGGCGGGGTGCGGTCGTTATCAGGTCGTGAGAGTTAATAGGTTTAGTTGGCGCGGCTAATGGGCGTCCCGGCACGCCGGCAGGAATCAGCTGACCGGCCAGCTGGCCGGAGAACGACGTCCAGGAACCGCCGGTTGAGAGCCGTTGGCTTCACGGGTCTCAGATTGGGTTAGCAAAGGGCGCAGTTCAGACCGGAGGGTGGCTGCCGAGGGTGAGTCTGCCACGGAGGGAGGAAGAGGGTGTTATTAGGGGTTGCTCATGGGGTGGCACTGCGATCAATGCTGGGGAGTCATGCTAGCCCCCCTTTCGAACTCTATATATAGAAGAATCGCGCGCGCGCGCACACACACACACACACGCACACAGGCTCCGACTACCGATGGACATCCGAATATCCCTGTCTCGCGAGTTTCCGACCGATTTACTCGCAGACAGGTTCGACTCGCCTCGGCCATTATTCGAGTCGTGGCGTCGCGACCCGGAAAACACCAACTACGCGTGTCTGGACACGCGTATATTTCTTGCTACGACCGGCTGTACGTCGTGTTTTCGGCCCAAACAGACGTATCGACTCGGTCTCCCGACCCCCCGTTCCATTCGAATTTATTCGACGAACGCTGACACCGATCGCGCGATATTCTCCGAGATCGAAGGAGGACGATCAAAGCGGGCTGAAAACGGTGGAGAGGCAGCGCTATGGGCAAAGGCAACGGTGCGAATGCGCGCACCCAGGGGATGAGAGGCTCTCTTATGGGAGCAGCGCAACCGCGAGAGGGGATGAACGAAAAGCGGCGAGCACGTGTAAACTTCACGGCCTAGATT